TTTAATATATATAAGCTAGAACTGAGTGCTAGCTTTTCCAAACTACTCTCAATATTAATAGTAATATTAGGTTTGATAAAACTTACTTTTTAACAGCTTTAATCACAGAAGATATGATGCACCCGACTACATAAAAGATAGTTCACTTTGTAACGTTTTTCCACGGATGTGGACATGTATTCATTTCATAATTCGATCGTATTGAATGCCTTCTGCCACTTGTCCAGTGTATTCCAATTTCCAATGTACATTTCATATATTGGTTAGACAGCGAGGACAAGGACCACGACGAGGCGAAGAAAAACGCATTTTTAGAGAAAATAGGGCTTCGGTGATGGTCCAATATTTCGCCTGGATAAGAAGCATCCGATAACGCTTGATTTTCACGATATTTTAGACTTGACATTGATTTAACAAATTGCGCGCGTAGTAGCACTGTAGCATGGCTATTCAAATAACATTATTTCACGTTTTAGACCGAATCTGGAAAATTCCAACGACAGAATTCAAGAGGCAGGCTCATTTTATCATACATTGACTGTTTTTATGTCAAAAAAGTTGATATCGAATGACACCACTTGTTTAGAACGGGATTTATTTTATTGCTCCTTCTGTTTACATGTTTCTCGTTCCGGGTTTTAAAGATTCCGGAAATTTTCATTCCGGGTTTTAAAGATTCCGGAGATTCTCATTCCGGGTTTTAAAGATTCCGAAGATTCTCGTTCCGGGTTTTAAAGATTCCGGAGTTCTCGTTCCGGGTTTTAAAGATTCCGGAGATTCTCGTTCCGGGTTTTAAAGATTCCGGAGATTCTCATTCCGGCTTTTAAAGATTCCGGAGATTCTCGTTCCGGGTTTTAAAGATTCCGGAGATTCTCATTCCGGGTTTTAAAGATTCCGGAGATTCTCGTTCCGGGTTTTAAAGATTCCGGAGATTCTCATTCCGGGTTTTAAAGATTCCGGAGATTCTCGTTCCGGGTTTTAAAGATTCCGGAGATTCTCATTCCGGGTTTTAAAGATTCCGGAGATTCTCATTCCGGCTTTTAAAGATTCCGGAGATTCTCGTTCCGGGTTTTAAAGATTCCGGAGATTCTCGTTCCGGGTTTTAAAGATTCCGGAGATTCTCATTCCGGGTTTTAAAGATTCCGGAGATTCTCATTCCGGCTTTTAAAGATTCCGGAGATTCTCGTTCCGGGTTTTAAAGATTCCGGAGATTCTCGTTCCGGGTTTTAAAGATTCCGGAGATTCTCATTCCCCGTTCCCCGTTCCTGGTTCCCCGTTCCTTGATTCCCCGTTCCTGGTTTTAAAGATAGCCTACTTAATTTCGCGGATTTTCTTGTATAGTACCAAGAAAATGCTCTGTACTATAGCCCTGGCACCTCCAAGCGTCGGCGCCAATTTTCAATTGATTAAAACTAATCAATCCACGAGAAAAGATGATATTTTTATTAAAGTTCAAATGCGCAAATCTGCTCGTACTAAGCTGACGCAAAGTAATGTTTTTTGTCTACGACTTTAAGCTCGCATGTTAATGGTATCACGTCACGCATCGACCGATTTCTTAACCGTAACATCACCGGAGAATATGTTCAGATTCTGAACGTATTGGTCACCACCAGGCATTGTATTGCGCCGCAATATATGCTGGCTGTAGTTTTTGTTTCTGGGTTTATGCTCTGGCATAGCTTTGCTTGATTTTAACCAGATTATTGTAGTGTAAATACATTTCGACAAGGCCTAGCGTAGATATACTTGTGCGGCGCCTCTTTTCACTAACTCTAACCCTAACTCTAAATTCTCTGACCGCCCGACCCATCGAAGCTCAGCCTCTTACAACACAAAGCTGAGCTTATAGCAAGAGAAATATAACTGGCTCCGGTCTCTACACCTTAGTAGAACAACAACTTTCTATGTTTGCTTTCTGTAATCAGTTGAGAACTTGTCTACATTCACATATACTTCTGGGGGCAGCTGCATGCATGCCCCCACCTCGTACGCTTGTGCCTATGGACGTGGACCTCTATTACTGATCGGTTAGAACTTAGCAGCGTTTATATCTGTACCATATTAAATGAATGCGATTATAAGTTGTTAAAAAAGTGCCTCATATGAGGTTCAGTAGATCCCATGTTCACATAGAAGTAATACTTATAAATTGAAAGGAAATGTAACACCACTCTCGCAAATAAGAAAACATCGTATGTTGAAGCTGTATTCGCTATTCGCTATCGTTCGTCCTGACGAGCAATTTTATCGGAGAAAATCACTGAAAATCGACCCTATTTTAGGCGGTTTCACCTGCTTCGAAATCAGCGAGGGAATGGAGCGTCTTATCAAAACAAAAGTGCTCTAGATCTTCTCGTTCTCCCCTCGAAATTACTGGAATTTAAAGCATTCATATTTCTACTTTAGTCGACCGACAAATAATAGTTTGAAAAATGCCGGTGTCACAATTCGCAAAACACTGGCTTACCTTAATCCTCAATTTCTGATCGTATCTATTTCAAACGCTCATTCCGTTTCCGACCGTCCTAAATCACTCCACAAACCAAAGGTCTTCGAGCGAGTCCTTGAGCAGAATTAAGATTATGTCAACTTTAACTCGCTGTTATGAATGCAACCAGTTAAAATGGTATGCACACAATTTTTGTAATGAAAAGGCTAAATAGAATGCCAAATTTGTTGAGCAGCGTTACACAGGTCCTTGTCAAATAATTCTATTGTTAAAGCTTCCCCTAATCTCGATCTGTTAAATTAATATTCAAATAGAAAAAAAACTCTTCAGATTTTCACACGCTTCACGCAAGCTACTCGTGAATGTATTTTGAAACGCGCATCTTTCACTAATGCGCTAAACATCTTTACTCTTTTCGTAAGAGCATGCAAGCCGATGTTGGGGGAAAAAAAGCTTTTATCATTCCAATCTTCTTTCAACAAAATAAATATTTTGGTTTTTATGGAAATTTGCACAGGGCTCAAAATTAATCCGCGCTCTATTTTTATTAAATGGAAATCGCATTTTGCAATCGTCGTTTGTACATGAAGCTGTATTGCCAAGGCAATGTCAAATTTGACATTCCAGTGACGGATGCAGCTTACCTACGAAATGCAAAGTGCATATTGCTATTTTTCAACAATAGTTTTTTTGCAGTAATAATTTTTGCATTCGGAACAGACGAATGCAGGTGGCATTGAAGATGGCTGAGTGGTCTCTTGTGTGTTCAGCGGAGCCACTTTACGATCTGCTGGAGCGAAGCTAAGATTTTGCAAAGCTGTTCATGTTGGCGAATACGGCTAGCATAGTTTTAACTTTCAACTCGAGAGTGAAACTAACATCAACGATGACATTGTCGGTGATTACTGATTACGCACGTAAAATGAGTGTTTCGAAGCTAGGAAGTTTATAAAAGTTGATCGTCCAGGTTATCTTTAAAAGATTGTGGGTTGGCTGCGGATCTTTCAACTGCCTGAGGTATCATCTCTGCAGTAGCATTTCCATAAACACAACAATTCACCGGCCGCCTTGTCCGCCCTTGCACAGTTCAAATGAGAAGACAGAGACGAAACCATCAACGTGCAAAAACATCCAACCAATTTTGAAATGTTTCCAAATCTACATGAACATGTTCATTAAAATTGATTACGAACTTTTTTTAAAGCAAGATACTCAAAAATTGTCAAAAGTGAAACTGAAATTAACGGTTGAAGATTTAAGTGGACATCTCACATCTGTTTTTGATTCAAGAGTTCACGTGGTCTTGTCTTATGTCGACCTCGCCCAGGGACTCAAATTTAAATTTTTTTAAGAGCGTGAGTGTTCAAAGTATCGACTTCCTAAAAACATATGTTTGGAAGATGTACAAGTGTTGATAACAGAAGATTCTTTTAAGATTCGTTCAGTCAATTCTAGCCGGAAGAAATATGTTCGAGATATTCTGTACGATTAAAAAACAAAATGCAAATGCTTTTGCCATCGAAAAAGCAAAAAAGACTATTTTTTAAAAGCTTTTCAAAGAGGTCGAAATCACTTTTTCAAAAGTTTGAGATCAAACATAGTCCAATTAATTGTAAGTCATTAACCAGGGTTTATACATTCCTCGATTTTTGTTCCTCCTCAAACCAACAACATTCATAGTTTTGTTAATTAGTTTCAAGGCACTCATTCACTCACCGAGCAACTTTATTAACAAGCTAATTTTCTACATCTGTTGAATTATGCTGACAAGTTAAAGCGATTTAATTTACTAATATATATAGTCTCTGATACAGATTGTGGGCATTTGCGTATTCTGTGATTATGCGAACGTGATACACAGCACATGTGATGGAAAACAAAAGGTACGCAGTGAGTCTTTACAGCTGTTATCGTGGAGTGCAGAATCCTTGCAACTGATCAGTAGAAAACTGCAAATACACGCATACAATTTTGAGATTAGAACACAAAGAATGTCATATTTGATACTGTGACATCTGACTTGTTGTGAACGTCAATGTCACCAATTGTTCTTCTTCCCAGCTTTACCGTGGCAACAATAAATATTTACAAAACTGTCTGGTTAGGATAATAATTGGTTTATTAGACCACGGCTGAGATAAGTCAAACATTGGAGCTTATACTGAAGGTTCATTACGAGCTGTCATCATCTGGTTTCTAGCAGTAAGACTGTAAGTGGTCAACAGTGGCTCAATGAATCTTATCATTCTTATGAAACACAGAGAATCGCACGTCTCAAAACGTTGCTTTGCGTTTAATCCTTTCTCTCAGAGTGGAAGATTTTGTATCGTTATTTCAGCGCGGAGCAGTTTTTAGATTGAGGAGGCTGAAAAGAGGAGGAGGGGGGGTGAGGGGGCGAGCAGAAACATTCTGAAGCCTGTCCTGTCCGTCAGAGCATTGGAAAGAGATCATTGTGGTCTTGTGGACCAAGCTTGACCCCGCTTCGCGGTCCCTCAGAAATGAGACAATTCACGCCGCGCAAGAAACCGTTCCGTACCACAACTAGTCAAAACAACTTCAAACTCGTTTTATAAATTATTTTAAAAGATTACGGAAAGCTCTAACATAAGTATTTAAATATTAGAATATTTACATCAATTACAGTAAACGTGGATGAGAAAAAAAAACATCCCCACGCAACTATTTCAAAGTTTATTTGGTTAACTAGGAGCGCATTCAATATCTCCTTCTCGCGATGCTTTGTTACTCTCAAGTTCTTTCATTATTAATCTTTCTTGTTCCATAATTTCAGCTGGTTTTTTATACTGAAAGATGAAGAAAAAGGTGAATATTAGAGGGGGGGATTTAGCATCCATTACTCAGAGAACACTCTAAGCTACTTTGAACCTCATTACGAGGTCACTGAGCACCATACTACCTTGATAATAAGAGTGTTATTTGCATGAGCTATTGAGATTGCTTTTTGATCCAGTGGCATATGATTTCTGACCAGATCAGGAATATCATATTTTTTGTAATATCTAGAAACATAAACTGTATAATTCTACAAAGAGTTTCATCGCCCCACAGCTCACCCAAGACAAAAACTGAGACTTTTTATTTTACTTTTTATTTTTTGTTCTGATTATAATGTGACGTCGATCATCGTTAATTGTAACATCATAAACATCAATGCTGTATGGTAGATTACGTATTCGCCATTGGAAGCACTCTCTAGTATCCTTACGAACAAATATTGGCTGAAAATGAAAATAGGTTTTTACAAAAGAAATTTGTTCAACCAAGTGTCATGTGAAAGTACCTGGCATACACTTACATTGCTCCTATTTTCAACAATTTGGCTTGTTTCATGTAGACCAGGCATTGATAAGTCTTCACCAACTTCAAATTCCCATTTTTTTTCAACACCTAATGTTGTTTTTGACTTCCATTTCCGAACTGGGATGAAAAAATATTTATTTTAGAGTCAACTTTTAGAGTCTAAGTTTTTATCCCTGGACCCTGATAACAGTCAAAAGAGTTCCAAGAGTGCGTTTTTTACCAAGTAGAAGACTAGAATGAATATCATATTCCTCCACCAGTTCTCTGGAATCGGGAAAAGTGTAGTGAATTTTTCTTCTTCCTGAAGATGAAGTAATGATTTGTGTCAGTCACTCAGTCTCAGCTAAGGGCTATTATGTGGAATTTTTCAGTGGTTTTTTACATTTTATAGCAGTGGTAAAATAAAATTAAGACTACTGCTCTATCACAAGTGCCTACCATCCTGAACTAAGCTTGTTTTTCGTGCATTTTTCAAAATCTGCAACCAAGCCGTTTCCTTTGTTTTGGTCGCCATGACAGTTCGACATGATACAGGGTGCCCGGGTCTATACGGTATGCGTATCCCCCTCGGAGTTTTTCACTCAACGTTTATTTGATTTACACGGATTCTTTACTTCCTTTGAGTCAAAATTTTCGACAAAAACTTATCTACCGTATACTTTTTACTCGCGGTTTAGCAAAAACATACCAAAAGCAAGCAACTTTACTTTTGTTCAATACAGGCGATACCTTTTAAATTCTCATTAGTTTTGAAATTACTAAATGATTCCCGTAATTACTTTCGCCCACCTATTGAATGTTGGTGTCACCATTGTTCTCGATGGGTGTCACCATTGTTGATGATTGCATGTAATTTCTAATTAATGAAATGCAATAAAAACAAGAATAAAGAGAGTTTTTTTTCACCATTCAACAAATTTGGTTCTTATGCAAATTTACTGGAAATAACGACTTTTGATTGGTCGAAAAGATCGAAACGTGGGCAACGACTTCCGGTTTCGCCTTAGAGCTGGTTTATTTTGAAAAGGAGCGGAATTTAATATTCATTCATAATGTTTTTCCTGCTATCTCGAAGAACTGCTTAAAACTTGCTCTCACACGAAAGAAAGTTATTTCAAATATGAGTGTTTCCAAAAGAAATCAGTCTTTGAAAGAAGACATGAAAAATGGCAGCGCAGTTCATTCTTCGGGCAAGGAAGTGAATAATAATCTCTTAGATCAAAAGTCGTCGTTCCGTGTTATGCTAGTTGTTTTTATTGGCTTGTTAATGGACTTGATGGCGTTTGCTGTTATATTACCCTTGTTGCCGTCGTTGTTGGATCATTACAGCAAAGATAAAGAGGTATGTGCTCACTGAAATAGCTAAATATTGTATAAACTTGCATGTACTACATGAAAAATTGAGATATGGCACATAAGTACTCATTATCATGCTCCATAATTACATAACTAATCCTGATCATTAACAATGATCTTATCAAGTAGGTTATCTAAAGTAGATTTTTCATCATGTTACAGTAATAGTTGTAATTAATCTTATTATCAATTGTTTTCTAGTTCAAAAACTTTTATGAAATGCTAAATATGTAAAATTTTGAATGCCTCTGGCCTATTTCCCATTGTTTTTTTTCTCATACTTCTTTAGGATGGCTTGTACAAATTCTTTCTAACAAATGTAAATAGATTTAGAGATTTTCTTAATATACCCAACACAGAGAGATACAATTTTGTTTTATTTGGAGGTAAGGTAAAAGATTCTTTTTGTTCCATGTGTATTTCTTGTGATATTTTTTGCCTTCAGCTTTTGATGAATAAACTACCTGCTCATTGACAGGCTTCCAACCATTGATTATTATATGTTTAGTTTCATTAAATTATTATTTTTGTTTTAAAGGTTTTGTTGGCTCCTTATTTTCGTTCCTGCAGTTTTTAGCCAGTCCTGTTCTAGGGGCATTATCAGATGTCTATGGAAGGAAGTCAATTCTTCTTTTTTCAATGGCAAGTGTTAATTTCTTGTTTTCTCATATACAGAACCATATTCTGTTGGTCACACGTACATTACTAACGGTTTTTGTCAAACTTTAGGTGGGTGTTGGCATTTCTTATGGTATCTGGGCATACTCAAGAAACTTCACAATATTTGTCTTGGCAAGAATAATTGGAGGTCTTTGTAAGGGAAATGTAACAATTAGTACAGCGATTGTGACTGATGTGACAAGCATGAGAAATCGAGGGAAAGGAATGGTGAGAATTTGACATTATCTCTGAAGATTTTGATGACTCTCTTTCTTGTAACTTTTCCTTCCCTTCTTTTCTTTCAATAGCCTTCCTTTTCCCCCTCTTCAGAATACCTCATCCTCTAATTACCCCTTCCTTAATTCTTCCCCTAAACATTTCTTCAAAATCACATTTCTATACAGGCACTCATAGGCGTTGCATACTCAGTTGGTTTCATCGTTGGTCCAGTCATTGGAGCAATATTTTCCAAGCAATCTGAGTCATCCAGTGGAACTCTATACGTACTGCCAGCAATCTTCACCTTGACGGTTGTCTCTGCCGATATCTTATTTCTGACATGTTTTCTGAAAGAGACATTGCCGAAAGATAAAAGGGTAATAAATTTCGCAAAGCTGATTTCATTTTGGATAAAATCACAGAAGAGAATCTAGCATTTCAGGCAAAGAATTTTCTTTGAAGTTTCTACTTTTGAAGACCTGCATTCACCATATCATAATTTCATCGTTTTAGGCAAACTCGTTGACGTCGGAAATGAAAAGTGCACTTCAGTTAATAAATCCAGTTTCCTTATTTAAATTCGATGCTGTCAATCTTCCAGCAGAAACAGGTATATCCCATTTGAATGCAATTATGCTGGAAAGCATTTGATTTCAGATGAACCTGAAAAAAGTTAAGATTCTTTTATGTGTCTTGTTTCTAGATTTGAATGAAGTAAAGAGAGTCGGTTTAGTCTATTTTCTTTATCTGTTTTTCTTTTCTGGCTTGGAATTTACACTGACATTTCTCACACACAGTGTCTTCCAGTACAGCAGGTTTGTATGGCAGTATAACCTAAATTTCCCTCATTCAAAAGTTCTCCCATTTTGACAGCAAGAAATATGTACCTTTCTTCCAGCATGCAGCAAGGCAAAATGTTCTTTGCTATGGGAATTATCATGGCTTTGGTACAAGGTATAGTTTTCAACCAAAAATTAAAGTATTTTTTATATATTTTGCAAGGTGTAATAAATATAATACGTTTTGTAATACGCTTTGTTTCTGTTTTAAAGGTGGATATGTAAGAAGAATAGCGCCGGGGGGTGAAAAGAAATTAGCTTCTCGAGTACGTTTGATCGTGTATTTGTGGTAAAAATAAAACACTGATATTCTACGTAGAAGCTGACGTGTGGTCTGTCATTATTTTCAGGGAATTATCGCTCTGATACCAGCAATGGTATTTCTGGGTACAGCTGGTTCAATGAAACTGTTCTATTGTGGCATCGTCCTTTTTGCTTTTGGTAATTATTACACTTCACTGCTCTTTCCTCGTCCTTGGGATGCTTTTTTAGCCTTGTTTTTTTCGCCTAAATCAAAATTTAGTCTATAGCGGGAATATCATCCATTGTTTCCACCATCTTAGGCGCTGCGACTGTGGTTTCCGCATTGACAACAATAGTATCAAAATATGGTAAGTTGTTTTACATGCAGACACCAGGCTGGGATAAAAAATTAAAGTTATCGCCAGGCAAGGATAAGAATCATGCTTTTCTTCACAGGAGACACGACACAGAAGGGCAAGATTATGGGCATTTTTCGCTCGCTTGGCGCGCTAGCCCGTGCTACAGGACCATTTTTTTCTTGTGCCAGTAAGTATATAAAGCCGAATTTTTTCACCGTCAGCAAACGCGTTTAGTTCAAACTCAGACTCGTTTTATTTCCATTTTTTCAAAGTTTACTGGAGCATTGGTCCTATGTTTTGCTATGGAATTGGCGCAAGCTTCTTTGTGATTCCATTGTACTTGCTAAAGAAATGCAATCTTTCTCAAAAACATGCGTGAATATCTGGGAAATTTCTTGGCCAGAAGAATGGCCTGAAAAACAAACATTTCTTGGAAACAGGTCACGAAGACACTTACGTAGTGCTTGAAGATGAGGAATAGAGAATTCTCTTTCAATACCGAATATATTATCTATTTTAGAATAATGCATGTATATTTTTATATCACCACACATACACACCACAGGATAGTTGAGACAATTAAAACAACTTTCACTTTTAAGACGTGCGTTAATATTTATTAGAAATATCACGTTCCTAGAATGGATGTTCAGGTAATTTTTTTTTCATTCTTATTTACAATATTTTATTATGCATTCTTTCAAGAAAGTGCTTGGTAGTTGTACAATGAATAATGTATTTCTTGTGGTTGCAATAACCTCCACCAGTAGAAGACTGTTTCAAATATTTCTAGGGTGCTGTTTTATCAGAATGAAACATTCTCCAAACTTGGATTTGTGCATGCAGATGAATTCGTATGTGTTAAGTGTTTTAGCTTAAACTCTATAAATCAATCTCTATGGAAAATAAACTACTCAGTATTTGTAATATAAATCACTATGGGGGATAACAGATTTCCCAGTATGCTGGTATAACCTTGCCAAAAATTACAACTTTACAACTATCTGATAGTATATACAAATCAATAGTAAGGCACCCAGTTGCTTTCGTCCTCAGGTTTGAGTACACCAGCAATGAGTAGCATAATATCGACAATCCACCAGACCCCCAACCCGCCCAATGTTAAGAGTTTGCCGACTCCAATGCCTGTCCAACCGAGGCAGAATCTATCGACACCCAGGAAACCAAGGAGGAGAGAGTAGAGCAAGGTTGTCAAAAAGTAATGACCATTGTATCTGAAGAAAGGAGAAGTATTAAGAGGGAAGAAATAGCAATGTAAGTTGGAATAAATTTGATGTAGGTCTGTTTTCATTTCAAACAATGCCTGTTTTCTACAAAATGGGAGGAATATAAAAAATTCAAAACACAACTAACTTTATGCATGGTACTCCATGTTTGAAGAACATTTTTTCACCATAACATTCCACTCCAGGCAGAACATAACAGACTACTTTGGTGTGGTTCACTTCTTCATGACGAGAACCTCCATACTAGGGATAATGTTGTGTGAGTCAATTCTAGTACTTCCATGTCCTTAGACATCCCTATTCATTCCCCAGGGGAATGAAAATAATTTGAGTTTATATATTCTGGGCAGGACTCACCTTGGTACATCCGTACCCAAGTCGTTTAGCCTCCGATGTGTTTTTTGAGAAGTCTTCTGGTTCATCACAATGAACAAATTCCTCAGGCCTTTAGAAATATAACATAGTAAAATAGTATTGATCAGAATATAAAAAATTTATTAATGTAATTTTTTTGTGACTCGCTGACCAATTTTCATCAAATATTTTAGATGTCACTGGAAAACGTACAGGTAAGAACAACAAACAAGTGGTGAACAAGTATTTTCCGGCTTTTGACTTTCCGGACAACACTCTTTATCACTATTACAAATAGCTCCAGCTGTATAAACGAAACAAAGAGCAAAGAACAATAATTTCACTCTTTTGGTGAGCGCCATTTTTGGCTCATTTTTTCCTTGAGTGCCCGCGTTGTTTTGCTCAGAACTTCAAGTAACGAAAGTGAAATGTCCATATTTTGGATACAAAATGTTTGTTGTTCGTTCTGGACACACGTGTATTATTTTTATTAAAATGCGTCTTTTAAACTAGTTATCTTTTGCGATTAAACCGTGTAAATCGAAAAGTGATCCTTGATGGATCGTACAGCGTTTTTTAAAGCGTGTGTACGGGCAATTCGCACACGAAATCAAGCAACAAAGTCATCAAATGGAACCAGCAAGGACACTTTAGGTATCTTGGGAAGAAGTCGTTCTAAGGTGACAACAGAATTTGGATCAAAAGCTTCAGAAGTTGTAAGTGGATTCAATATTATTGTTATTTGACTGAAAACCTGGTTATTTCGCATGCATCGTATTGCATCCATCAGATTTATAATTGAAACATTTTTTCATAGAAAGATTTTTCTTTCATAGAAACAAAGTGTATCAAAGTTGAAAGAATTTTTATTAAAACACCGGAAAGATTACATTGAAGCAGTCAGGTGTGTAAATGATGCAATATTAGTAGATTGTGATATAAAGAAATTATCATTGCATCTATCACATATTCACCTATGCTTTATCATGGTCACCTTCACCTTACCTTCACAGACCCTAACCTCCCCTTCACCTCAATCTCAGGCCCATCAGCCTACCTTTATAGAACTTTGCTGTACTTTATTGCACTTCACTGTACTTTATTGCATCCAGACAATTTGACCTTTTTATATAGTCATGTGAGTTCGGGCGTAACGGCAATGAGTGACAGGGAAAGAGACCAAATCGATCAAGATGCTCAAACATTCATCAGGACCTGCTCAACAGCAATCCAGTCTCTCAAGGATGAAGGTCTGGAGATATCTTATCTCATATATAGATATTTCTCTCTCTTTTAACATAACAGAATTACTGTTTAGTGGTGAGCCAAAAGAACAGTGAACAAGTGACAGAGCATCGGTGCATGGTTTTAGAAATACTACAGAAATATCTCAAAGGTATTAAAAAAAGATTTCAAACAATTGTTTAATTGTACCCATTTCTAGCACCAGTATAATGATCTAATTGTTGTTTTAGCGACATGCAAGTTATTCAGTGAGCAACGAGCCATCCGTGTTAAGCGAGTTGTGGACAAGAAAAGAGTGTAAGTATCAATCCTGATTTGAAAGTCCAGCAACTGCCAGGTGATTTCATTAAACATTCTGAATTGAATTGAAGTATTTCTAAAGTGTGGTTTTCTAAAACAGCTCAAGATTGCAATGTGATAGCAAGAAGGAGTCTGGCAAAACCTCAGAAATCAATCGCAGTGAAGTAACTACAACTCATTCACCAGAAATAACCGATGCAGATGTCGAATTTACTGCTGAGGAAATGCAAACAGTAAGTTGAGCAGTTTGTTCAAAGTAATTTTTCCTTGAAAATCAACATTCTTATTTAAACTTTTTCATTCAGTTCGAACAGGAGAACAAACAGATTTTTGATGAAATGAACAGTTTAGTTAATGAAGTCAGGTATAACTTAATTGACAACAAAATGTTCTCTTTAAATGTAACAATGATCTAGTTTTTTCCTTAAAATACACATTTAATCATTTTTTCTGCATTTTCCCTACAGAAACATTGAAGGAAGAGTTGTGGAAATTGCTAAGTTACAAGAGGTTTTCACTGAAAAGGTTTTAGAACAGGTAATAATAACTTTGCTAGAAGACGAGAGGATCTTAAGATTTTTATTGGTGGACAAATATCTAGGACTGCTGAAATTATTTCTACTCAATTTTCAGTCAAAGCAAATCGACCATGTTTATGAAACGACAGTAAAGACAAACGAAAATGTGAAAGAAGGAAACGAGAATATTCGAGAGGTAATATTTTGATTCGGGTTGAGACTTGGTTTATCATGGTCGTGTCCACTCACCTGATTGTCTTCTGTACGTCCACTCTTTGTTAAACAGTTTTTTCCTGTCTCAACAGGCAATCAAAAACAATGCAAGTTTTCGTGTTTGGATTCTGTTTTTTCTTGTGATGTGCTCATTTTCGCTGCTCTTCCTCGACTGGTACAGTTAATGATGTTACTTCATCTACTATGATTAAGGTAAGAAAGTTAAAATAAACTTTGCATAGAAAAAGGCATTGAAACAGCATTGTCTTGATTGCTATCTAAATGTACTTTACTAAGAAAGACAATGAAATTTGTGCAAAAAATGGCATCAAAATGAACAAAAGATTGAGCTGTAGTTAAATTATATTTTATTGAAAATGTAAAAAAAATTATCAACAGTCACACTGCAAGTCATTAAATTAAACTACCCGATAAAGTCTAAGGATAAACTATCCTCCTTTTCTATTTATCTTACATTCCTAGCAAGAATGCCTCTGAGGGGGTGGGTGGGTGCAAATGAGGGCAACTTGCTTGAGTCCAGGCCTAGGGGGGGTCCCAAGCATGGGTTTAAAAATAGTACAAAATTATAGGCTAGTTCATGTGTGCATCAACATTAACCTTGTCGATAAACATCTCGTTGCCTGGGCACAACGATGTTGAATATTTAATGCAAGGAGGTTAAGACGAACTAAATGAAGTACTCCAGTCAAACTGTGTACACAATGATTGTAGAACCCTGCTTGCCATTTCGAATTCCACGAGTGCCCAATTATGACAACCGACCGATAGGAATTTCGGAATTAATTCCTGCATCATCTTCAGTTCGACAACGATACTGGCTGCATCTTCTGAGTCCATTTGTAACATAATAAGAACCATCAACGGCAACAAATCATCAGCCGTTATCGCTAGCGAGTAGTCATTGTCATCGATCTCTAAAACGTCACTTCTCAACTTCTGGACGGAGTCCGTGACTTTCGTTACGGAGTCTATGAGACATTTCAGTTTTTCAAACACAGACGACATCTTGAAAATGTCTTTCAGAGAATCCAAAGATGGGCCAAAATACTTGGCGAATTTGGAGAGTTCATTTTGAAACTTGGACTCTTCTTCTTTGGCATTCTCCTGACTATCTTCCACATCATTCTCGTCCGCAGATGAGCCAGAATTTAAGATGAGATCTCCGGGCTTTCCGTTCACAGCGTGTTCATCTTCGGTAGTAGAAATATCATCAGGGATGCTTTGTTCGTTATTGGAAATGTGATTTTCTTTTTCGTTATTAGTTAAAGTACCACCATTTGTCACGATAGCGCCTGACATGTTATCCGCTCTGTACCTCTCATAATCATCAAAACACGAAACCTTGCTCTCTCTACAATCCTCATCGTTCAGTGATTCGGTCACATCCCTGGATTTTCTCCGAACAAAGTTCATAATTCTCCGGAGTGTCTTATTTGACCGAGGATCTGAACTACGAGACTCGTTTCCATGGTCTTTCGAGGACGAGCGCGAGGATCGCGATGAACTCGAGGTGATAGAAGAGGTCTCACTTGACGGTGGTGTACATGAGTCCATCTTTATTGGAATGGATTTATTTGCCAAACGATCGCTGGCGACCTTCACCTGACGACGTTTCTCGAACAATTCCAGCCACCATTCATTCTTCATTTGTAAATCCAAGCAATTGATTGGGTACGTTTTGAGTATATTTAAATCGTGAATCATTTTATCTTTGTATTTTCGATAAGCCGTCTCGAAAACTTTCATAATATCTTTACCAACCTCATTATAGAAATTCTCTTCATAACACAGTTGTAATTTGCGTCGTAGTAGCTCAGAGTTCATGCTATTAAATTGCTCTAAAAAGAGCCGAGCTAATTGATCACAGTGATTCTTAATCTCACTACAAAGGTTTTCCAATGGCGTCAATAACTCTTCTTCTATTGTCCCGTCATAATCGACAACAAGGAAACCATTGCCATGTCTCGACGAGTGCTTCTTTCGCGCGTCTGTGCCACCTTTTGCCAATTCTGCGTTTTTCAAAGCCAGCTGACAGTATTCTCGTATGTGTCTTGTGAACTTTTCAAACTCTTCGCCAAGCGGATGTTCCGGGTTTCTTACAATGGTGGCGACACGTTCGCTCAATGTCTGATACTCAGGAACATGACTGTCGCTGATTACTGCAAATGAGAATAGAAATAATAGATTGGAATTGAAGAGTAATATTTACCGATTAATTTTAATGATTTTTCTGGGTACTCCAGTTAATTCACCCTTGCAAAGCCTTCACCCTCCCTCGGTCCAACTTACCATCAGTTGGTCGTACTCCCATATATCTGTTAGGTATTGCACTGGCCACACCATCGTTATTTATGTCATCTTTAATACGTTCCAAGTTCGCCAAAATACTCATTGCTCGAACCTACGTTAAAGGCAAGTAAGTAAAGTCACAATCGTTAATATTTCGCTTTTATGAATTGAGGCAAACTTAGATTAGAATTTTTCATGAACTAAATTTATTGTGGTCTTGGAATTGTGAAAGACTGGATGACTTTCACCTTCTTTTCCATTTGATATGTTGCCCTTTCTTTCTGTCGCAGTGACATTTCTCTAGAAGAAAGATATTCCAAGACAACAGTCTCGTTATCCTTAGACTGAAATCCTCCACTGTCCAATGCTTCTTTTAATGTATCTGCAGATGCCATCAGTATCTTTTGCAACAAGGCATGCATGTTAGCGCTTTGTTTTCGTGCCTCTGCAAGCTGTTGTTTTTTCTCTTCAGTCTCGCCATTGCCTTGAATATCATTTTTGAGTTGTTGAACAACCCCCTGATTCGTGTCAATCTAAGGATACCCAGAAAATTACTTTAGTCCTAAGGCATGTGGTGACTTAAGTACAGCTGTAAAATGTTTAAACCTTATTGGCAAGTCAAAAGAAGCCAGGGTTTGCATGTGTGGGGTTTGGCATAGCTATAATCAGGTATTCATTTGCATTTGAACTAGATCTTAGAAGTCTTATGATGCAAGGAAGAAATAAATCACACTAGACGGTAGAAGACAATATTACTGTGGTTTCAGAAATGCAAAGATATATATTTGTATTGATTAAAAAAAGGTTTGTACATATATGTACACATATAACAGATTTTTGACAGCTCTAGGCTAATGTATCTTTTGTAGTGTTTTCTAAATTCAGTTTTAATCAAATTTATTGAAAAAGATGAATTGAAAATGATTATCGGCAAATGGTGCTACCTTTTCAAAAAGTTGATGTTTTCTTTTCTGTAAATCTGTATCAAGAGCTATAACAAATCTCTCTGTACATTTTTTCTCTGATGCAATGGATTCAAATCGATGCAATCTTTCATCTTGTTGCAAGAACAGAACCTTGTAGGATTCATCCAATGTTTGTGAGTCACGTTCAATATCTTGCTCACGTTTTGTGATATAAGACATCTGTTGCTTCACAGCCCTTTCAACTCTTGTCCAATCTTTTTTATATATTAGTATTTTTGGTAAAATACAGCAATATAACATCCTTATTAAAGAGGATTGCTCATCATGACCCTGTAAATTTTGAGAAAACTTGTCAGGAAATCTGTGAGGCACAAGCCAACATCTTATCCAAAATGGTAAAGTGAAAGTCAAGTCCAAAATGTTAAAGTAAAAGTCAAGTCTAAAAATGTTAAAGTGAAGTCAAGTTTGTATTGGTTCTTGACTTCCATACAAACACATTCTCTACTTACCTCTCTTGCGTTATTTGTACGTGAATGGCTGATTTTAATGAGGTGCTCAGCAAGGTTAAATAGTTCGTCAATATTATCATCGTATTGGTAACGATCATCGTCAGCATAATGTGTCCTATGCAAAAGATCTTCTGTACCTATGGTAATAGCCAAAAAACGGTTTGTTAGGTGACCTGGCTTGCATGTTTAGTTCAACTATGACTAACGAGTCAACTTTGACTATGACTAACGGCTGCTACCCTACAGGAAACATGAACTAATTAAATGCTATAACGCTCAGATTTACCAATCACAAGTGAATCAGATAAATAGCCAAAGCTACCAGTAGTGATGCTGCAAAATAGTTGGTATTTGAGCATTATTTATAGAGAGTAATAATATCAAAACAGCATTCTGCATATTTTTGGTTTACACTTCCCTCCCAGAATCTTGTTTGTTTGTTGAAAACCAATTTAGTTAATTCCTAATTAGATATGGTCAGACCCTTCAATTGCTTTGCACTTGGAATATTGCAAACTATTTGAAAAAAACAATTACATAAACCAATTATCTATTTACACATCGACTGAAAAGAACTCTGATAAGGCAGTCAGCTATGCGGTGATTACCTTCGTCATCTAATACTTTTCCAACGCTTGACGTAGCCCAGGAAAACCGTCGTCTTTTCACGTCGACACACACTCTGTCCAAAATCAAGATAATACCCCATGGAGCAGGTTCAACGTTGAGATCTGACACGGAATATTCTTCTGTTGGAGGCGGTGAGCGAACTCCATCACTACCAAATGTTCCTACATCGTACGTTATCCGTGGATAACAGCCATCTATCAACTCGATCGTATCGATTCTGTAGAGACTTTCATTGCGTAGATATAGTAGCATCACTAGAAAGAAGCCGGAAATGTCGGAAATATATACAGACTACAATTAGATTGTCTCTGCGTTGAGTTTCGCTTTGACTATATGTTTACACAGCAGTATATTTTAAAAAAGCTGTACTCCGAAATTGTTTTATAAGTTCCGAAAATACCTTAAAAGAAAGCTAGAATGCTTCCCTTAGTCATCTGTGGAAATGTGGAATTCCCTTCTGCAAATATTATTACGTCAAAAAATCAGAAAAATTCCAATGAAATTTGATACAATCTGATTAGATTTCGCAAAATTTCGGTAATTTGATACTTCGATGACTTGCCACATTTTTGTACACAAAAGCGCGGGGCTTGGCGCGAATTTCCGCGTAGTGTGTAGCACTTATAAATACATATTATGTATTTCGAGTTTTTTTTACATTTTAAAAGTTAAAAACTAAAGAATTTACTTACTTGTTTTCTTCAAACATATCTAGTTACCCTACCTGCTATAAATACAAGAAATTTGAAATATAAACATCAAAATTGAATTCTTAGCAATTCTTATCACAGTCCAGTAGATTTACAGATCCATTTCAAATTAATTCCCTATCCAACCCTGATTGAACCTCTCAATCCCTCTGGTAGATCACTCCAGCTTACCTTTGGAGTTCAGTGGGGCGGCCAGATTTAAGTATGTTGTTTTCCGAATATTTGCTGTAATATAAAAGTTTCGGCGTTTTTTCGTTTTTTTTTCGGATTTCGTATCTTATTTTCATAACAAAACAATGTCAAGCAATGAAACAACTTTGCACTTCATAAAAATAGGGGAATTCAGTGGAAAGTATTTGAAGCAAGCTTTTGAAAGTGCCAAATCGAAGAAGCTCGATGTGGAACTTGTGTCAGGAAGGAAGCTTTTGGAACAAGGTGTAGATGAGGACAGAATAACATTTGTAACCGATGAATTCACTGGAGATGTTTTTGAGTTGCTGTTGGCGCATAAAAAAAGGATTTTCGGGCCTATGTGTGTGCTGCAGTGTGTGGAAAACGAGATTCCTCTGCCAAATCCTAACCATCCGGTTTACTGTCTTGCTATGACTGGGGCAATTGTTTGCTGCACTAATATTGAGAATTCATTGAGAAAAAGGTTTAAAACGATCATCGAGTTCATGAACGGGGCTTATGCAAAAGATTTCACAACTCAGGTGACCCATTTGGTTGCTGGTGAAGTTGGCAGTGCCAAGTATGCGATTGCTGCAAAACATCAGAAACCTATTGTGTTACCATCTTGGATTAATGAGGCATGGAAGAAAGTAGGTAACGACTACCAGGTTGATGCCACAGATTCAAAATTTGTCGATGAACATCGTTGTCCAATTTTAAAAGGATGTTCAATTTGTGTCAGCGGATTAAATGCAAGGAGAAAAGAGGAAGTGAAAAGGTTAGTCGAGGAACATGGTGGAAATTATTTGGCTGAACTTCGTCAAAGTGAGTCAACACATTTGCTGATTGAAAAACCGACAGGTCAGAAGTATCAGTTTGCATTACGCTGGAGTGTATATTGTATTCTGCCTGATTGGTTGCATGATTGTATCAAAACTGGATATTGGCTTGAGGAAACGGCATATAAGTTGAAGTCAGGTAAAGATGTAAACAAAGATGTAAACACCACAAGCAATGTAGAAGATGGTTTGACGACTGTTAATGCCACTGTAAATAGCACAGTTTCTAATAGAGATATCTCGAGAAAAGCAGAGATGGCAGCCAGACAAAGCGCTGAGAGCTATGGAAACAAGGACATCTTAAACCAATCACTAACAAGAGTCCGAGCATCAGGCTTGAAACGTCTAAACAAATCTAGGCACAAAAGTAAGGATTCAACATGTGATTATGATGTGCCAATTCCTTCTGGGGAGCAGTTTCTGGATGGTTGCCAACTTTATCTGACTGGTTTTAATGAAGCTCAGATGGATTACCTGCAGAGAATCGTGAATGCTGGTGGGGCAACCAGGTTTAATCAGATCAATCCTAGTGTGACCCATATTGTTGTTGGTGATGAATCAATGCAAGAAATTGAAAAAATGGTAAACTCTGAGTTCGCACCTCATGTGGTGAAGGTACAGTGGTTGTTGGAGTCTTGTCGGCAAATCAAATGTCTTCCTGAGCAAGGTAAATATATGAAACAAATGAAAATACATTGCTTCATAGACTTAGAGGTTGGAATTGAGTTAAAATATAATAAATTTTTGCGATGGGGATTTTAAAATAGACCTTTTCAATTTTGCTTTAGAGTATTATTGCTTTGAATTAAATAACGAGGTTTTTGAAGAAGATCGAAAATCAAATCTAGAGTGTGATAACAAGAAATCAAATGCGCAACAAGAGATGGATGACAATTATGATAATGAAATTCTAAAACAATATTTAAATGTGATGCCAGTGGATGAACAATCAGTAGACAAAGGTAATACAGTTATTTAAAGGTACCCTTATAAAAGCTGTCGTAAATGTTTTACTTGTGTGAATGTTGTACAGATGTGAAAATGACAAATGTTTGCATCCAAGGTAATTGCAAATCTTGATAACAGGTCTGGCTTGCTCACATTCCAAAATATATTTACGTAACATATTTATGTCCAGATTTAACATTTTTTTGCTTATTTGAAAATAAAAGTTCATAAACCAGATAGGTCAAAAGATATGTGCTTTACAACTAAAATTTTATGTCTCAAATTTTTGCCAAATAATTGAGGTTTTCTGTTTCATTGACAGAACAAGTTGAGGTTGATGACGGGATCTTCGAAGGGCTGAAGATGCGTCTTGATGGTTTTAATGAAGAACAGGTAGTTCAACTGCAAGAAGAGATTGAAGAACATGGAGGGAATGTTATATTGAATGAGACATGGCAGATTTTCTAATTGTGCCTTTGAATTATGAATGTGAAAAAAAGAAAGCTAAGACAGTGGTAAGGAGCTTGGAAAGAATCAGGCTTAAATACATAAAAGATAAATTGGAAACACTGGCTACAAATATCCTCAAATTTAACTAGATGTAAGAGGGGCTATATAGATTTAAATATCAAGACATTTTCTTGTATACATATTTTCATAGGTAGTTGCTCATCATGGCCTGTTTGTAGTATATTGTGCATTCAATTTTTTTTTTACTTATTTTCAGGTGACATATTGTTGGTTGGAGCGTTGCATGGAAAGTGGTGAGATGCTCGAACCAAGCAGTGAGTTTCTCTTCAGCCCGTTTTCTCTGGATGATGATGTGTTGCCCTTGCAAGATTGTGTGATCTCTGTCAGTCAGTACGCTGATGTTAAGAGGGAACACTTGACGCAATTGATAGAGATTTTAGGTAGGTGTAATCAGATATTTAGATATTAAAGCCTATTCGTAAAATGGAAGGAATCCTTGCCAAATTGCAGATTTTGTGGAGGTTATAAGGTTTACTGATCGTAGGATTATACTTTTTCTGACAGGAGGTCATTTCCAGGAATGGTTTTCACGTACAGCCAAGGCAAACCTCCCAGCAAACACTCACCTTATTCTTGAAGAACCCCTAGGATTAAAGTATAAAGCTGCTGTAGAGTGGAGCATTCCTGCACTAAGCTCAGAGTGGTTGTACCAATGTGCACGTACAGGGGAAAAGGTCCCCGAAGCACCTTATCTCCTCGACCCTAAGAAACCTGCTGAGGTGAAACAGGATCACACAGGGATAGAAAAGGCTGGTAAAGGACATGAGGAACAGTCAAATGATATAAAAAGTGCGTTCACCAAGTTTACTGTTCCTGAAAGCAGAGATGGGGGAATGGTTAAAATTCATCAGGAGACTATTGACAAGTCAGAAGCACTTTTGTTGAAGCAGAAAGCAAAAGGTATGATTGTATGGAAGATATAATTACCTCTTTTTAAGGGATATGCAAGGCCAACTGCCTATAATTTGGGCCTCAAGCAATTAAGATGGAGATCTGGGTTAACACTATTCCCTTGTGGTATTTAATAGCTGGCCTGGACTCATTGCATGGGGGCCTGGGCATTGCCTGAATACCTGACAGGAGTAGTGATTGGTACTCTGCTCCTGGGGATATGACCCATGAAAATGAAAGAATGTGAAATCATATCTTGAATGCTCTCTGCTGACTCCTATTTAGATAAAGAAGTAACTTCCTCCAGCAAACAACCAATGTTATTGAATGTTCCTGCATTCTTTGGCAAACCTCAGCGTCCCTCATTTGACCTCACTGATGCCCTTGAATACCTTCAATCACCCTGTGCGTCCTCTGGTAGCAGCAGCGCCCACAGTCGCTTGAGTCGAGGCAGCAGAAACAGCTTTCTTATGGATGATTACATACAAGAACATTTACAAGCAGGCTTGAAGAATACTGGTAATCTACTAGAGGCTCGTAAGATCCAACACAAAGATACTGTTGATAAAGAGGGATCCACTGTTGATAAAGAAGGATTCACTGTTGATAAAGAGGGATTCACTGTTGATAAAGAAGGATTCACTATTGATAAAGAGGGATTTACTGTTGATAAAGAGAGATCCACTGTTGATAAAGAGAGATCCACTGTTGATAAAGAGGGATCCACTTTTGATAAAGAGAGATCCACTTTTGATAAAGAGGGATCCACTGTTGATAGAGGGGAAACTAATGTTGATAAAAATGATCACGAGGATGGGTCAAACGAATCTTCATTTCTTCGTGGTGTTGTGCTGTTCGTCTCCAAGAAATGCGCAAAGCAGTTCTCTGATATAAACGAAATGGCGACTTCTGCCGACGCGCAATGTAGGGACAATATGGACACGAATTGTTCGCATGTGATTCACGAGGTTAGTCTTTACCTGACTGTGGTTGTTCATTCTTGATGAACAGTCAGGGTATGTGAGGCGCTCTGAGTAATTCTCACTTCTTCTCCCCACTTCCCATGGTAATGTAAGGCGTGACCGTGACCCAAAAGAACCAAATATTGGGCTCGTCAGAGATTTCACTGAAAGGTCCACTCAAAATCGAGGCTGCAAATATTTGTAATGTTGTATAATTGCCCACCCATAAGTTTCGAAACATAACCAAACATTTGAGTTTGTCCCCCACTTGAATGGGCAGGAGACCCGCCAGTTTGAGTGCTTCTGTTCTAAGATATCGGTTCCCGGTTCTGCAGCCTCTTAGAATGAATGAAACAACATTAATTCACGTCTAGTCTTTACTCTACATTTTCAGGGTCGTCTTACAAAAGAACAGACAAGAATGAAGTCAAAAGGAGTGCATATTGTCTCACCTCACTGGCTTTATGATTGCATTGAACAAAAATGTCGTCTGGATGAAAGTTTGTACCCCCCGGGATATAATCCCAAGCTCGCGTTGTCTGTGGTTAAGACCAGAAGATCGACACGAAGCACTAAGTCTCTTGGGGTAAGTTTGAAGTGGAAGGCAGGGGGGGAATATAACTTATAACAAGAAGTTACAGTACGCCCGAGAGAGGAACTTTAAAAAATGAAGATTTACTCTAGATACCAATTGTGAGCTTGCTCATAATGTAGATCATTCATATTATGTGACAGTTCAGGCCCAATGTAGTGGTAACAAGACAAGCAGTTTTTTTGAATAACGGGCAATGAGCAATCTGTGTCTAATACATTCAACTGAAAAAACGTCTCGATATTTTCAACTAGATCCATTGTACATAAATAAAGTTCTATATTTTGTCTTTATTAATTCAGGACGAAACAATTGCTGTTCTCCCAGATGTCAAGCCGGATAAGTTACACGAAGTCTCGACCGAGTCTTTGAGTAAGAACGAGACCCGTGAAGAGTTAAAGGAACTGCCAGAGACAACATCGGAGATTCCAAACGATGAAGACATGGATGATTTCACGATGGATGAGTTGGAGGCCATAGCTGCGATGAGTCAGAGTTCAGCTCAAAGTGATTCTTTGAGAAATAGAGAAGAAATTAAACGGATACAAGCGATCATGGAGTCGATGGAATCGATGAAAGTAATGATCTGTCAAGAATTGATTAACACCGGTGGTTAGAAGGACTTGTAAACTATAATTTTGCTTTATTCTGTAGACAACCCGACGCCGCAGTAGCAGAATTCACCATTCTGGAAATTCCAGTCATTCTCGGAACTCATCTGAATCGAATGAAACGAAGAATTCTCGGAGACCTTCCTCTCGTCTGCGGTCCTTACGTTCAAGCAAGGTAGGAATGGTTTTTGTTTTTCCTTTTAGCATCTTCAACTTTCCTGGGAAGGGTTGTGTATTTCCTGGGCAGTGTAAGTCGCTGCTGATTGGTCAAAAATGTGTGGAAGTCCCTGCTGATTGGTCAAACATGTCTTCTATCCAGAATGAAAGCCAGGAAGATGATGAAGACGATGATCAGACGATTGCGGGCGAAATTACATACGACGATCCGAATAGCAGGCAGGAGAGACAGAAGATTATAGCTAAGCTGGAGGACATTAGTCCAAGCCTTAATCAAGAGCCCAGCAATGAAACGGTAACGAAAAATTTCACCTCGCAAATATCGCACCACAAGGAATAGAAAAGGACTAGCCACAAAGATAAGGCTATTCATATTATAAAATCAACTAAAAAACTATAAAATATCTTCATTTCATTTTATCGTTTCTTATATAGTTGAATCTGTCCACAAAACCAGATGGTTTTTCCTATAATAAACATCCAATAAAGAAGGAGTCCCTCTCCCCTAGTTCACCAATCCATTCCTCAACCCCAACTACAACTGCCCCACCTATTGCTTTGCACATCACGTCAAAATCGAATCTTCCTCAACCAATGAGCTTGCTGGACCCGCAAGAGGAGGTGGTAAAGGTTGAGAGAAAACCTCCACCAATGTTTACACTTTCAACGATGTCCCAGCAAGAAAAGGTTGATTATGGAGCTCTAATTGAAGATCTTGGTGGCGTGGTCTTCGATACCCAGTTCTTCAATCCTAAAAGTCGGCACACAATCGCTGGACAACTAAACAGGTTAGTTGAAATTCTTTCTTTAGCATTCAGAATATGCATTCTTGAAAGGGTTTTAATTTCTCGTTCTTTTTCGCGGCAGAAATGAGAAGTGTTTATCGTCCATCGCTGCTGGTAATTGGTTGTTACGGAAGTCGTACTTAGAGGAATGTCGTGTCACGGGCCGTTTTATTGACGAGGAACCTCACGAGTGGGGGGTTGAAATACCCGGAGAGCCTTTGACAAGTTTAGGCGTTGCTTCTCGTAGATGGAGGATAGACCTGAGCAAGGTATATGTTTCAACGTTTGTTGATTGAAATTTTAAGTATTCTGTTTTGAGTTTTACAAATACGATGTTTATAGTTCTTGATCTGTCCTATTGAAATATCACGAGCTATGACAGTCTATGATTTGTCCTAAGAATTACGAAATAACGTAAGGTATGACAGTGTATCCTGGTGCATTTTGTTGCAGAAATCTGAACGATATGGAAAGAAATTCGGTGCATTTCAAGACTGGAAAATACTTCTTTGTGTTGACAAAAATAAAGCTGGTTCCTTCACGAGAATGCTAGACGCTGGCGGGGCTAAAGTACTGGGAACTACACCACCGTTTCAGAATATTGGCGAAGCCACACATGCTTTTATCAGTAAGTCAGCGGATATTTACGAAAATATATTCAAACCCAGTTCAGCCTGTCACGGCTCTTAAAAAGCTTCATGCATGCAGCTAGACCTTTCCTGCACGAAAATACGCTATGAAAGTCATCTTTGCTACAACTATATGTATCCTTTTTTACAGGTCCTGGTGCCTCTTTGGTAAATAACGTGGATTTTGGGCGTCTTCAGCAAGCTGGTATTCAAGTTCTCAAGACTGAGTACATCGTTGATTATCTAACTGCCGGAAACAGCTCTCCAGACACATCGAAATATTTGTATAGATCTTCGTCAAGCATGTCTTCTAGGAAACGCAAAGAGCGGGACTCGAGTTTCCCAGAAACTCCTGGGAAAAAGAAACGGGCGAATTAGAGTATCTATTTTTTATGGATTGTTTATTAAAAGGAATCGATTTATAACAATAATAGTCAAAACTTCTCAATCAAAGTTCGCTTTCCTACAGTTTTTGATAAAGGAAACCCATTCAAAAAATTTAACAGCATTTTTTAAACCGTATAAAACAAATGAAATGTTGTATAATAGTTCAACTATGTTGAAAGTTATTAAATTATTTCTTAAAGAAGTCCAATTTATTATCTTTAATTCAATTGTTACACAATTATGCCATAATTATCGGTTAAAATTTCATTGAAATATACATGCATGGCTACTCAAATATATCAGTATGATTCTAAAGGTGAAATCACAGTAACTACATTAATTCAAATCATACTGAACGATATTCACTTTGTCTTAAAGTTATTGGTTTGGTAGGAAGTCAACGGAATTCGACTCTTCTTTTAGGAAGTGAAATTGCTTGCAACATTTCATCTTTAAAACTGTTTCTGTTCATTTTACCACTTTTCATTCAATATTAAATGCAGTAAAACATCCAGTTGCCTTGAATGCAACCTATATTCCTGCTCCACTGTGCCTTAAGTCACGTCATCATTTCAAACGGTGTCACAATGTTCGTATTATTGTATTTCTTACCAACTCCATGCGACCTTTTAAACCACTGAAACGGCATTAAAATCCTGAAGAACTCTTCTCGCATATCGTTGTTAAAATGAACTAACACGAGTGGTGCTAGACCTGCAAAACTGTACGTTATCACTTCAGTCAGCACATCGAAAGCTCTGGCGCTGTTCACAGTCATAGCGCTGTCGTCAATGATGAGATATATGCATCTTGGAGACCACATTAAAACGTAAAGCAGTATCACCAATATCACTACTCGAGACCAACGAACTTCGGCGGGAAAATCAAGCGGGACTCTGTTGTACTCAGTGAAACGCGAATCAACGATGCCTATTGATTGAGCATGCTTTGCAGACAACTTGGTGATTTGGAAGTGCAGGACAAACATCAAAATAAGAGGAATCACTTCAACAGTCAAGAGAAGATAAACGTAGCTCTCTTTACGTAAAATATTGAAGTTACACGTGAACAACTTTAGACCACTGCCTGTATGGTACAGCGACATGAATGCCACAAATATTGCAAAGCACCACACGGCAAGTAGTATGAGCAGAGTTTTATTGTGGGTTAACTTAGCGCGGTATTTGCCAGGCTTTGAAATCGCGATGTATCGGTCAAAACTCACAGAGACTAAGGTGAGTATGGACGCTACACACCACAATAGGGTCGAAGTTAGGTACGCTTCGCACAGCGTGGTTTCCTCACTCAACACTTCCTCGTTCTCGTTCCAAATTCTCGCAATGCGTAAAGGGATAATGGTTGTGGCCGGAATGAAGTTAGCCACGATCAAACTGATCGAATGCAGGTGCGTTACTTTTCGGAGACGTTTGTTCCGCCAGATAGCCAGGAGTAAAACAAAGTTCCCAAAAAGGGTGAACAACATTAGGACGACTAGTAGCACTGTGTTGAGTTCTGAAACGCCGTGTCTGCCCATGGTACACGACGGTTTATCTACAGCTATTAAGAAGTCTGTTGTAGTAATTAGCCAACGAGTCTCTTCAATAAAGATCCTTGTAAATGATATGGTTCCGGATTTAAAGAGACGTTTATACGTTTTAATCAGTGTGCATCACACCACAGGTGAAGCTTGTTAAATTAGCAAGGATACCAGTAATTCTCTTGTCTGTCAGAATTCACTTTGAAGATGAAGTATTGCACCAAAGGCCACGTCTTTACAGCCAAACCTTTCTTCAAATGACGCATCCAACAGACTCAATGTAAGTTCAGAATACCAAAGTCTTAATCTTCTTAATCGTGTTTGTAACGATATTCCTTAATGATACACATCCAAACGAAATGAAATTTGAATGATAGTAAAAGTACAGTATATTCGACGACGCCAAACATTGAACAGAAATATGCGGTAACCATAGATACCTGTCAACAGTTCTCACGTTTCAAAAGATATTTAATCCGGGGCGATTAGCGGTTAGCGCTGTTTGATAGTTCATTAAAAAGCAAGTTAATTGCCTTCAAAAGATCTCGTCTTTGTTTCAATAATTAATATTTCACATTGACATGTTGTTCCTGGAATATTTTCCGATGTAACTGGCCACCATTTGTAATTTGAGCAAAGAGATTTGAGCCGATATCATATGCATGCAGAAGAATGGATTTGTAAGGCAGGAAGAAAATAAATATTGGTTATCCTAATGTAGAAGAGTAAGAAGACGTTTGGTCCTATGGTTGATGCGCAAATTATTTGACTGAATGGCAATTTGGTTACGCTGAAGCAGCGCTAACCATGGTTTTGAATTATGACTGTTCACATCTTCAGACTGTTCACATCTTCAGGGCAACTGATCAATATAAGCTGAGAAAACAAGGGGCTCATTACCATTTTGAAGTGGTGGTTTCGAAAGTCCTTATCACGAAGTTCCTGTTTTTCAGAAATTCATTCCTATGAGGGGGTAAATAAAGCACCTGCAATTGAAAACAACGAGAACGTGAAGGAAAAGTTCCTTCGTCACAGGAAGTCACATACAAGGAACTACGTGAAACGGAATTCTTAAAATTCTTACACACGACTTTGGAGCGCAAATTTTTCTGTTCAGTGTTACGTTTTTCCTGTTAATGAAAGAGCAATGGGAAAGAAAAGATTTTTAAGGAAGGAGACGCTCATAATAGACGTGTTTTTTCTCATCTCTGATGTCACACGAGCCTACAACATCTACGCGTGGCGGCCACGAAATTGGCGAATATTATGTCACCCGAACAACCGGAACTAGCTTCTAGTTTCCTGCTTTGTGCGCGGTCAAGGACGTAGTAAACAAAGCGATCAGAATGACCAATATTGCATCAGGGAACTCTGTCCGTACAAAAGATGACATTTCACGGTTATTTTGCCGCTAATAACAACTGCAAAATCGTTCATCTGTGGGCCCCAAATGGTGTCCATACACAAAAAGAACTGTGAAGTCTTATTCCCATCAGGAAACCGCGAAAGCCTTCGTGTTTTGCCATGGAGGATAGTAATTCTGTCAAAGTCCCGATACTGTTAGTGACGGCTAATGTTGGCTCTCTGTTCGAGGACGTACGTATTTATTTATACTGTGGTGTTACAGTATTCTACCTTTTGTTTCGTTGCCAAAAGTAGCCACGATTATATAATATTGATTATCATGTATGTCTTAGGTGAAAAGCCTTTTGCCGGGATGGGTTCGGGAAATGCAGCAAGTGAGTTTATAAATATACTTACGAATTACTGAATTGTTTGCTTTCCTATAAATTTTATCTTCGAAACAAATGCATCACTAATTGCTTTTGAAGCGCACTTGGTTTAAAAGCATTCTGAAAGTAGCAAATACGAGCTACGTTTTTGTTCTAATTGTTGTTCGAATGCTTTATTGGAAAGTGAACTTGCTCTTTTTTCTTTCCAAAAGAAAATCGCTGCACTCGACCACCCAAAGTTCATCGCATTTCATTTTCAAGAGATCGGGGGTAAATTGCCTCAAGCGGCCTTGGACAGTGTACATCAAATCACAAAGTAAGAATGCGAACGATTTTATAATTGTCCTTGTCGCAATCTTTTTCTTTATCTATTATTTTACCTGCGTGAATTTATTCCGCTTAATTGGACAACATAATTTTTGCTATTCTCGTCCTCTTCCAGCCAACTCTTGTGCAGCCAGATCTTGTCAGAGTACAGTACAGTCGTTGGATACTTCGATCAGGACTACAAAAACGATGAAAAGTTTACGGTGAGTGTGTTTTGCTTATTTTCTTTGTGAAATAAGGAGGATGTATGAAGCAGCTGTTTACTTATGTTTTCCATGATTGTTTTCATTTAAAATTCTGCAGTGAACCCATCCCACTCATATTATACCCAGCACAGTATGTCGGATTCATTTCAATGATTTAATCGTCGGTATTCTTGTTATCTGCCTACTTTTTTAGGCGCTTGGAGCACTATTCCTTGTTCATAAATCTCTGAGGAATATTGCTATTTGGAATTATTCAGGTATATATGGTTATATCTGAAGTGTGATAATTACTAATCCATTTCTATTAGTATTTGAATTTTTCTTGCAAGTAAACACTTTGGGGGAAAAACAAAATATGGTTTACAATTTGGATGCAAGCATAGGCACGAAAGAAAGCATTAGCTTGACTGAATCCTTCTTTGATTTTTCAAAACTACCCTTGAATTCTCTCATGAATGCCAACTTGTTGTCCATGCAATATATTTTAAAATCACAAATGATTTAAAATATAGAATCACATATGATTTAAAATCAGGTGTATTAATCCTTTTTTGATTCTTCTAGATTGCCGGTTTGAAAAATTGAAGCAAGGATTGCAGGTGGGTAACCTACAAAAGCTTTATTTTTTTTACATTAGAAATGTTTCTTGATCATCAAATGTTCTTCTTAGCGACCAGCTAAAAATATGAAATACATGTTTTGCATCTTTCATGGATGCATGCTAAAATCCTGGGTAAATTAAATCACAACTTGGCATCATCTGAAGAGACAACAGTACATTTGCCAGGCATTCGATCCATTTATTCATAATTAATTAAAACAATATTTAGTGTCAGAAAAACACCTCATATTCAGAAATGTTATTTGATTATTGGAGTGGTGTTTATTTTGCCAATCTGTGGTGCTCCAAACTAATATTCATTCACTTTAGATACATACATCTAACCTGGATGCTTTGGAAACTATTGACAAATTAAAATATCCCAAAAGATTTTTTCCTCAGGTATTGTATAATATTTATATGCTATTTAAACAGTTTAATTTGTTGATAGGTTAAAAATGCATTCTCTATAGTATTTTTGTCTCAATTACAAGTAACAATTAACAGCTAAATCTATTTTTGTAGATGAAATGGTCAAGAAAGGGATATTTAAAAACAAAATGGAGGATATCTGGAACGTATGTTTTTTTGATGAAATTATCTTTTGATGTCAGGAAATGGTTATTTCAAAGGGACTGGTGCAATTTCGCATGACAAGGGGTTGATCCCAGCTTGACCACTCACTCATGAACCCATCTCATATCTCTGCTCCCATCTCATATCTACAAACCTCTTAGCAATACATGAAGATGATTTATCTTGTTTCTAATATAGGATCGTGAACCTGATTAATATTCACCTCTTTCATGACCCATCAAATTTGGTTTCCATGGAGTCGGTAAGTCATCGTTTTTGCTTCTGGATAATTTCAAGTTACCCCTCGCCAACAAACAGGGTGTGTTGAGACATTAGACAATATTTGATCTGAAAAAATAGTGTGTGATCCTTGTGAATTTACTTTTACATTCTATATTGCAGAGTCCTTCTGTGTATGCAAAAAACAGACAGAATGCCTTTGAATATGTATTGCAAGGGTGAGTATTCTTTTACAATTTGTCTCCAGAGCAGAACTTAAAAATCTTGAAAAAAACAAGTTTTAAATTGCTAGAATTCTGCTACATGTAATCTACAAGCAAAAGCACTCATTTGTTGGTCACAAACAGTAGTTTTCTTACACATGCTCTCAATTTCAGTCTTGGCAAAGACCACAGTCCAGCTTTTATTTTTGGTGACTTTAACTTTCGACTGGATCAATGCAAATTTTTAAAGGTAAAAGTTTTTCCAATGCATGAAATATTCCCAGAAGATTCTGACCCACTTGCCACTCTAAACATTAACTGAGTAAATCATCTCTTTGTGGTTTCCAATATTTTACAGATGATATCCAAACACTGTTCTGTAAAAACAACATATACGGATGGAAATGAAGAACTTTCAAAACTTGTTGTCGTTGAAAAAAAACATCCAGAAAAGGTATACTCAAAATATTCAAAGTTGTCACTTTAGCTGCAATACAGTACAATCATGTGCTACTTTTATTTCTTCTAAAGGTTCGTCTGGTTGTTGAGCCCTCAAAGTTTTTTTTACACTTTCAACAAGTTTTGGACAACAATGCTTCAAAACTTCGAAAATTCGACAAAGAAGTTCAAACGTTTAGGAGATGGCTATATGAGTTTCCCATCGAGTTTCCTCCATCGTAAGTACAAACAATTTTTATTTCTAGATTATTCCCTTCTCAACTCAATTGTCTCATCATTTCAATGCATTGTTGATTTTATATTATCCATAGGTATCCGTTTAAAGAGGATGCTGAGATCACAAAACCCTTGTATTTGGAAAAAAGGTATAGTATTTTTTGTTTTATAACATAGTACTAATAGTATTGTTGGGACAAAATCAGACATTAATAAAAAAAATTGAATTAAACATATGCCCTGTGTGATTTTTTGACAAGGTGTCCCTCTTGGTGTGACAGAGTTTTATTGACACATAATTGCAAAGAAATAATTTTGGTAAGTGTTGGCCGTTTGAGCCAATTCTTGCTTGAACTTTCTTCAATTCTTGTTATAAAACAGGGCGATGATGAAGTGCAGTGTTGATGTAGCATTTATTAACGAAGGATATATAATTTCACAGGAAAAACATTTAGCAAAATATGACTTGGATGGTCTGAACACGTGTATGGGAGACCACAAGGTATTATTATTATTACGTTTTTATTTGTTTCAAAATCTCCGTAGTTGCATGACAAAGGCGTGATGAAATAATATGTTTCCATACATAATTTGTGTTGTTTTATAAAAGCGCGATTCATTTCACTTGACTAACAACAGACCCTAGCCTTGAGTTTATTTTGGAAATTCTGAAACCATTATTTTTTTTTCAGCCGGTTTCATTGTATTTAGTCGTTGCTGGCAACGAAGACTCTTCGGTAGACCCTGTTGGTAGGTGTTTTAAATTATCCTAAAGTACTTTCGATATTTTTTACCGGTGTTTCAAAGGTTGAAAACAGTTTTCTTTTGAAAAAGCATTCAGTTAAAAATTCAGAGTTTCTGCTAGAGTCAAATGGTCTAATTTATTGAAATTTTACAATGATCGTGATTGCCAAGACTGGGCGCTGCCCCCACCTATTTTTTCCCTTATTAACTCAACTTAGGAAGACTGGAGACGAAAAAAAAATGTTCTCTGCATGACGTCATACAATCACGAGGACTGCTATTTTTTTTAGACGTGGTCGATCCCGGAGTCCCCATTTTGATGCTGGAGACATCGGTATAATATAATCGATTAGTTTTCTAAATATAACATATTTAATTTGAAATTACCTGTATATATTTATATATTGTCTCAATTTGAACATTATTGAGTTGCTTTTTTGAGACTTGAAATATAAAATTTAAAATTGCAACTGTGGATATTCAACGACGTATATTGCTTTCAAAATATCGCATATCAAATAACATCGGGTCTGTACTCAAAAACCCCAAAATTCCTACAAAATAGACTGGGAAAGGCATATTTTTCAATCGTACCATAATCGGTGATAAATTTCTATTTTAGAGCATTTTGAGACACTTTTTGAAAAGTTGAAAAAGTCGTCAAAATTGACGAAAATGGTTAAGCTTACCCCTTACCATTTTGGTCAATTTTGACGACTTTTTGAACTTTTCAAAAACTGTTTTAAAATGCTAAAAATGAATTCCTAAGACTAATATCTTTCATTTTAGAGCATTTTGAGACACTTTTTGAAAAGTTGAAAAAGTCGTCAGAATTGACCAAAATGGTAAGGCTTACCCCTTACCATTTTGGTCAATTTTGACGACTTTTTGAACTTTTCAAGAACTGTTTTAAAATGCTAAAAATGAATTCCTAAGACTAATATCTTTCATTTTAGAGCATTTTGAGACACTTTTTGAAGAGTTGAAAAAGTCGTCAAAATTGACCAAAATGGTAAGGCTTACCCCTTACCATTTTGGTCAATTTTGAAGACTTTTTGAACTGTTCAAAAACTGTCTTAAAATGCTAAAAATGGCTTCCTAAGACTAATACCTCTCATCTTAGAGCATATTTGGTTGGTTTTTGGAACATTGAGAAATCGGTAATTTTGCGTTCAAGTTTTAAAATGTATTATTTTTGTTAAGTATCAACACACTACGGCGGCCTAGTGGTTAAGGCTACCGCCCTACCAGGTTATGAGCGTAGGCTCGAATCCTGCCAGGGAAAGTGCAATTTTTCCCACCTAAGTTGCTATTTAATTTAAAATTCTGGGAATAGGATTAAATAAATAAAGAACAAGAGCTTTTGATATATAAATGTTGCTGTGGCCCAGTGGTTAAGGCTACGGCTACCAGGTTATAAACCTAGGTTCGAACCCGACGTGGGAAAGGTTCGATTTTTCCCACCAAAATTATTCTTTAATTTAAACTTCATCGAAAAGAATCAGGTCAAATAGAGAACAATAGCTTTCGACAAATGACCCGGTAGTGTAGTGGTTCAGACGTTCGTCTCTCAATCCGAGGACTAACGTTTCAACTCCTGGCAATGCAACAAAATTAGCCTGAAAAATTTCGGTGTGATTTGGAATGTTTAAAACAGTTAAAAGACTCCTCGGCCTTTGCAAAAGACCGTAAATTGAAAAAAATTTGAAATATAAAAACCAAAAAAAATTATCGCCTTCAAAAGTACCTGGAAATTGAAAAAAAAGCGCAAGTAAAAAAGTTTTAAAAACACATGTCTTCTAAAAACCCTGAAAATGAAGTAAGTCAGACGGAAAAAAATTAACAATTTCCCGCTTTTAAAAAACTCATGTTTACTTACCTTAATTTTTTTTCACGAAAATTTGACAGGGTGATTTTCTCGAGCGTGAAAAAATTTAATTTTTTTCACTTTTTTGAAATTCTCTTAGATTTTTTTTTGACGAATAAGTATTTTGTCTTGGGCTACCTGTGTCTGTCTTGGGCGACCTGTGTCTGGCTTGACACAGGTAGCCCAAGACATAATACTTCTTCTTAAAAAAAATCTCGGAGAATTTCAAAAAAGTGAAAAAACCTTTTTGAAGAAGAAGTATTATGTCTTGGGCTACCTGTGTCAAGCCAGACACAGGTAGCCCAAGACAAAATACTTATTCGTCAAAAAAAATCTAAGAGAATTTCAAAAAAGTGAAAAAAATTAAATTTTTTCACGCTCGAGAAAATCACCCTGTCAAATTTTCGTGAAAAAAAATTAAGGTAAGTAAACATGAGTTTTTTAAAAGCGGGAAATTGTTAATTTTTTTCCGTCTGACTTACTTCATTTTCAGGGTTTTTAGAAGACATGTGTTTTTAAAACTTTTTTACTTGCGCTTTTTTTTCAATTTCCAGGTACTTTTGAAGGCGATAATTTTTTTTGGTTTTTATATTTCAAATTTTTTTCAATTTACGGTCTTTTGCAAAGGCCGAGAAGTCTTTTAACTGTTTTAAACATTCCAAATCACACCGAAATTTTTCAGGCTAATTTTGTTGCATTGCCAGGAGTTGAAACGTTAGTCCTCGGATTGAGAGACGAACGTCTGAACCACTACACTACCGGGTCATTTGTCGAAAGCTATTGTTCTCTATTTGACCTAATTCTTTTCGATGAAGTTTAAATTAAAGAATAATTTTGGTGGGAAAAATCGAACCTTTCCCACGTCGGGTTCGAACCTAGGTTTATAACCTAGTAGCCGTAGCCTTAACCACTGGGCCACAGCAACATTTATATATCAAAAGCTCTTGTTCTTTATTTATTTAATCCTATTCCCAGAATTTTAAATTAAATAGCAACTTAGGTGGGAAAAATTGCACTTTCCCTGGCAGGATTCGAGCCTACGCTCATAACCTGGTAGGGCGGTAGCCTTAACCACTAGGCCACCGTAGTGTGTTGATACTTAACAAAAATACATTTTAAAACTTGAACGCAAAATTACCGATTTCTCAATGTTCCAAAAACCAACCAAATATGCTCTAAGATGAGAGGTATTAGTCTTAGGAAGCCATTTTTAGCATTTTAAGACAGTTTTTGAACAGTTCAAAAAGTCTTCAAAATTGACCAAAATGGTAAGGGGTAAGCCTTACCATTTTGGTCAATTTTGACGACTTTTTCAACTCTTAAAAAGTGTCTCAAAATGCTCTAAAATGAAAGATATTAGTCTTAGGAATTCATTTTTAGCATTTTAAAACAGTTCTTGAAAAGTTCAAAAAGTCGTCAAAATTGACCAAAATGGTAAGGCGTAAGCCTTACCATTTTGGTCAATTTTGACGACTTTTTCAACTGTTCAAAAAGTGTCTCAAAATGCTCAAAAATGAAAGATATTAGTCTTAGGAATTCATTTTTAGCATTTTAAAACAGTTTTTGAAAAGTTCAAAAAGTCATCAAAATTGACCAAAATGGTAAGGGGTAAGCCTTACCATTTATTCACATTATTAGTACTAGGGAAATTTACAATAATCAATCATGCATTAAAATTAAGTATAATAGTTCTACAGACTATTTACAAAAACAACTTAACTAGACTACTCGCTAATGTTGGAGTTCCATTCCGACAACGTAATGTCGTTAGTTGATGTGATGGACGCAGTCCTCCAACTTCGACTGCCACGAACACACACCACGCGAGCTCTAAGCAAAGCAAAGGCGATCTTTCGTCGTAACCAGCTAACCACCATAGATGGAGAATGATTCTTCTTGTCATTAAAGCCTTACCATTTTGGTCAATTTTGACGACTTTTTCAACTTTTCAAAAAGTGTCTCAAAATGCTCTAAAATGAAAGATATTAGTCTTAGGAATTCATTTTTAGCATTTTAAAACAGTTCTTGAAAAGTTCAAAAAGTCGTCAAAATTGACCAAAATGGTAAGTGGTATTATTATTATTATTATTATTATAATAATAATAATACCACTTACCATTTTGGTCAATTTTGGTCAATTTTGACGACTTTTTGAACTTTTCAAGAACTGTTTTAAAATGCTCTAAAATGAAAGATATTAGTCTTAGGAAATCATTTTTAGCATTTTAAAACAGTTTTTGAAAAGTTCAAAAAGTCGTCAAAATTGACCAAAATGGTAAGGCTTACCCCTTACCATTTTGGTCAATTCTGACGACTTTTTCAACTTTTCAAAAAGTGTCTCAAAATGCTCTAAAATGAAAGATATTAGTCTTAGGAATTCATTTTTAGCATTTTAAAACAGTTCTTGAAAAGTTGAAAAAGTCGTCAAAATTGACCAAAATGGTAAGTGGGAAGCCTTATAAGTATAAGTATTTCACTTACAACTTTCATTGAAGACATATATTAATAATAATAATATAATAATTATTATGTCTTGAACCTATTCAAATGAGTTTTTAGGTCCAGAATGGTTTTTTTTGTAGTGATCGACACGTCCTGACCAGACGTTTCCTGTTCTAGATGAGAAAAGTATTTCTTAAAAACTGATAAAGCGTTCTTTATGGAGACAAAACTACAGCTCTCCCCTATAAGAAAAAGTAATATCTGTTAAGAAATAATCTTTATGCAAATTCCTTAGCAGAGGTAGACTGCTATTTCCATATATTCGTAAACACAACGGGCAATAAAAATACGGACTCTAAGGTACAACTGGGGTTTCAAGCTAAACAACTTCTTGAACCTACCAAAAAGGAGAGTCCCAGCTTTAAAACGGGCCACAGCAGAAGCTTGGGTCGAATTCACCGACTCATTTTCTAAATGAGAAAGAAAAAAAACCCGACTGATGCAAATCCTTGATCTTTCCCATGTACACAGTATCATAATTGTAATATGTTTTGGCCATTAGTTGTAGCGTGATGTCACTAAAGTTTGTCTAAATTGAAGAGTTTAGCAAATACCTGAAATACGTACCATTTGGTTGCACTGAAAGAAAACTAGAAGCACAAAACCAGTAGCTTTCAATAACAGGAGAAAGAATATTCCGCAAAAATCTAAGCTTTCGTATAGCCTCTTCCGAAGCATTTACCTGAAAAAAATTTAGAAACAAATTCTTATCACATGAAATTTAATGATTTAATAATGTTATTAACATCTCTACTGAATGATAAAAATGCGTTTCATATTTCGAGTTTTTACATGCTACGTTTACTCGTTGTGAAAAATTACCCAACCCAAACAATCCTTAAAATGCGAATGATACATCACGGACCCTGTACTCTTGATCAATTATTTCATCTTCCTCACTCTCTGAATTGTCAGACCACGCTGTAGACACCGCCAGCCGATTGGCCCATTTCTTATCACGTGACTTTGCGCTAATATCCTGGATAAGATAGAAAGAACATTATAAGAGGAAATAGTTTAAAATATCACCAAAACAACGAAGAACACGAACCTCGCAAACGTTCAACACATCAGCTGCGATAAACTTCTCAATGGCATCGACAATCGCCTCCTCCATAGTCACACAAGGCTGAAAGTATATTATGTACCTTTTAAACTATTTAAAGGATTACAACATCGTCTTCGTTTCCTTGTAGTCAGTATTTAAGACATTTATGCTGCTCTCTTAGTATACTGCCACTTACATTGCAAAATATGAATTCCTTGCGAAGTACGTGACACAAGTCCAAAGCGGTATCAAGCAGCTAAGAGATTATTTTGGAAACACATAGAAATCAATATTCAAGGATATGGTAAGAAACGCCATTCCTCACAGTATACAAAATTTACCCATTTTTTTTCAGGCCAAATAAAAAGCCTTTTGCTAGTAGTATGAAAAGAACACTTGGAAACGGATTTTATACATAAAAACATATCTTTTGCCATTCACCTGTCGTCTTGACACCGTTGTTGTTGCATACACCAACTCCGAAAGAGACAAGTTTTCATCCTCCAGTAAAGTGACAATGGAACATGCTAGGAAAAAGTTCAACAGGATACAAAATGATATAATTCATAAAACTTAAAAAATATGGAAAAAATAGTATTTGCCGCTATTTTAAAGGACAACAGCAAAGCTGACTCTGTAATTCTTAATTGTTTTCGTTAGACTGGAATTCTCTACTTAGGCAAAACTTTTCAATTTGTAAAAACTTCAATGACATCACGCTACGAATAACGAAACTCTGCATTAGTATACTTAGATTACCTACCCACAATAGATTCAAGCAGAAATACAGATACCACCTATACGATAAACGAAACAAAAACATGTTCAGTAAGGATTGAGATTTAGGCATTTTTCTTCTCATTTTTCAATAACTTGTCAAGGGATACTTCATGTACAAGCGGCTAACCTGATTGCTGTAATAGGAGAGCTCTAAGACAGCTGGTAACAAGATATTCGGTTTGATAACACACGATTTTGAATCCCAGGATACAAGATCGCTTCCTAAAAGCTTGACTGAGTATAAGATGACGTCTTCATTACAACCGCTGAAACCATAGTCCCTGAGATTATATAAATGTGCAAAAATGGTGAGAAATGAGCTGATTTCACTAGAAAGACCTTACAGCTAGGATTCACCTTTTGTGCATAAGAATGTCCTTCTTCAGCATCTCAAAAGCCTTTGCAAATTCTTTCAAGTTAACCCCCTCAAGAAGTTGAAATTATAAGAATATTTTCATTTTTTGAACATGTAAAACTTCAAATTTTTCAAGGCTGAATGAGCATTGAATTATATCAAATTTCACTTGAGTGAGAATAATATACCTTCCGAAATTTTGTCAACAACAGAAACGCGACCATGTTTGTTCCCATAATCGTGGAACTTTCAACACATTCTGCATGTAAACAATTAAGAATTAAAAACCTAACTTAAAAAGATTTCTTGTGGATATACAGATACTGTATACACATGTTTGTTAGTGAAACTGTTGTTCTACCCTTGATAGATCATTGGATCTTACCATGGATAACATGATTGGCAATTCCCTTTGTCAGCGCTGTTGAAGGGCCGTTCAAAGTTTCATAAAAGATGCTTTGTTGATTTGAACATGAGGATGTTGTTTCCATGAAAGTTTGCCACGACAGTGAACTTTCTGAGCTCCGAAGCATTTCCTGCAAAAAGCAACTAGCATTTGAATACATGGCTTGCATGCACTGTCTGTCATGTTCTACAATCGCTTGCAAACCATCTGCAGTAAGAAATCATTACCACAAGGGAAAATGGCATCCCAAAATCGACACGAACTTGTCCAAAATAACTTCGGCAGATTCTCAAAGCATTTTTCACTGTCCGCAGAAAGGATTCTGGCCGCTTTGGTTCTCCCTGTTTTTAAAAGAAAATTAGTTTAAAGTCCGCTCCAAGGTCGCCTTTGAAAAAAGGTAATCTTGAAAACACCGAATCAAATCTTACCATAAGTTCGCCTGTATAACCAGCTTCAAGGATCTGCATAAAAAATGAAGTCAGATCACTTGTTGGTAGACTAAATGGCTGGTTTTACCACTTTTTTGGCGGCGAGCGTAATTCTTTTACCAAATTAAATCGATTCCTGCCGGAGTTTGACCGATAGTTCGCACATTTTCATCTAATATTATCTAACTTACCTGTTCATAGGAGATATTGACGGGTACAATCAATACATCAGATACGCGACCTGGTAGAAGATTGAGGAATTAACTATGGTTGAACACATAACATGTAGAATTAAATGAATTCGGACCTATCAATAGGGTAAGGATTAAATTGATTACTATCACTATTCAAAAACAGAGGAGGGGTTTTGAGAGTAGATCTACAAAATGGAGTAGGCAGCTGCCTCAGCTTGTTATTACCTTCATTTACGGCTGAAATGACCGATGATAGAACTCCGATTTTCGGCGGGTAATTTTTGCCTGACCTTGATCTTGTTCCTTCTGGAAAAAAGATGATAAAATATCAGGTCAAAGGATTAAGGTACGTTTGCTTTTGTATATAACCAAGGAAGAAAGACACGTACGTCTTATGTACCATACACAAATTACAGGCTTTTTGAGGAATACTGGATGCTATAGCCAATAGGCAAGTGTAATTACAATATATTGTACCCACCAAGAAATATTTCGAGATTATTGCCAGAGATCAAGATTTGAGCAATATACTAAAAAGAGAATTGTGGGTTGTAAGAAGTCTTGGGTGAGACTGACACATATAATGTTCAGAAAACTACTGTTAATCACAATGGTATTGAGAGGTTGACTTGGTGAACACATACAGTATCACACACCTCTTTCATGATGGCACTGTACAGTTCATTTTGAGGAGTTTGATCATCAAGCTTCCTTCGGATAAAGAATGCCCCCATGTTCCTCATCAACCAACTATAGAAAAGAAAAACATCGTCATTGTTCACCACAATTATGTTCACAATGTCGTAAAATATGTGGCTTTTGAAACATTTTTCTTACCTAAACAATGGAATATCTGTCAGATTATCTAAAATGATTGATGATGATGAGAAAAATTGGTGAGCAATTTATGTGATAAATCAGTAGAGAATCCAGCAATCCAGAACAATCCTTAATGGACTTGTAACAAACATATATAATATTAAAGATCATCACATACCTCCAGCAGCAATGTAAGGAACCTATAAAAATATTGAAGTTATGTATCCAATTTTCACTTGCATTTGCAAAACCACAACATGCATGCAGCCATACCTTGAGACCATGCCAGTTCAACACAAAAGAGATCAACAAATAATCTACATGACTTTTGTGCAATGGTAGATACACCAAAGGGATGTTCCTCTGAAAACATTTGAAACATTTGTTTTAGATTATCCTAGAGCGATGAAGTTTTGTAAAAACATTGAACATTAGTCAAAATTATAGTTGCCCTTGAGGTTGAATAATATACTGTACCTTTGATGCTTCTTTAAGCATTGTAATTTGTCCTTGATGAATCTGGATGCTGGACAGAACTTTGCCAAAAAACTTGAACAGAAACCATGATACAATCCTAGTAAAGTGAATTCTCTTATTAACTGGCAGCACATTTGTACTGGCATTATAAACAGAGTAAAATACTGGTTAAAGTAGGGCACATCTGGGTTCATTGCAAGCTAATGGGTTAAGCTCAATGAATTAATATATAAGCACATCGATATACAAGATTTTTATTTTATGTAGCCTTATTGCAACTGATATATTATTGATAATCAAGATTGAATGAAGCGAAGAGAAGATTCTTTATTAATGTGTTCATAGATCACTAAAGCTCCAAATTTTACCTAACTAAACTTCTTTTGATTGAGCCACTCATAGCCTTGATGATATTGTGTGCTTCTGCCTTAAGCTGTTTTGATGTCATGGCTGGATTTGTTATTTCTTTCTCGGCTATACAAACAGATTTAAGTCTACATCGAATGATACTATCATTTAGTCATAGAGATGTTAATTGTCCTCAATTGTACCTGAAGAGCCAGCATTTTTGGGGCTTTCGTCAGCATTTTGGTCAGATGCAGCCAGTCGATGTATGGTTGAAGAAACACTACATAATATTAGTCAAAATACAATACAAATACATGCTGATTTCTACTATCTGGACACTTTTAAGCTTTGATGAGGACTTTTTAGGTAGCTAATCTTCAGGAAAGGCTTTAAAAAATTAAATAAATGTACATTGTACAGCAGACATACATCTCACCTTGGAGAATTAACTACAGTGTTTTGAACATCCTTCAGTTTCTTGTACTTTACACTTGGCAAGTTTGCAACATAGAGAATGTCACTAAAAGCAGTCCTGAAGAAATTCTTTCTATAAATTAATGAAAAAATATCTTGTATTGTACTGTACTATACTTATAATGCCATTCATTTATTAACTTAATTTACTACAAAAATAGATCAGACTCAAGGTATGGAATAAAAGTACATACCTACAAAAAACACTCAAATCAAGTAGGTTCCTCAAAGGGCTGTTTTTGATGCCTTCTTTGGAAAACACAATCTAGTTATCACAACAAAAAAAAACGATAATGATGTCTTTTCTCATCTTTCTAAGCCATTTTTTGCAGGCGCTGAATGTAAAACACTGCTTGCAATTACCCGAATACTTTTTTGAGAGCATTTAGAACACCCTGTGCCAAGAAATGGTCGTGATGTGCGATGGTTATCCTCGACTGCAAGTGGTGGTATCAGCTGAAATTTTCGTTCAATGTGTTCCAACATTATGCGACTATTTAAGTCCTAAAAAAAGATGAGTAATTCGGCTTCATTAACATATTTGTTTGCCTGAAAGCACATATATATTAAATACATTGGTTAGATTCAAAAGACAAGTGAGACCCACTCCCCCACCTATTTAAAGACTACCCTAAAAACCCACCAACCCATACTCCACCCTTCCCATCATCATCTACATGCACACCATTGAATACACCCCATCTCACTCGCTCCTTGATGTCCGTGGACAAATTTTAATATTGAAAAGGCATTTATAATGAAAGCTCTCTCGTAGTATTAATTTAGTGCCTCGAATAGTTTAGTTTTAACCATAAATGGTCTTTACTTATATAAACTAAAAACGTATTGATATTTCTTACATATGCATCATATTCCTGGCGCTTTTTCCTGTTTGGTCGTCGCCTGGGTAATGCAGAAGCATCAAATCTTTGCTGCCAGGCTGCTCGTCCGGTTGACGAGTCCTGTTTTCCTCCGGCCTTCACGGGGGCATTCAGCCGTCTTTCTTCGCCTTTTTTCTCCCACTTTTTGAATACATCTTCTAAGGAATTCATATTCGAAGCTTTCATCCCACGTTTGTAAACCTACGTCGCTCTTTAAAGACGGATTTCACACTAGCTTTGAAAACACGTGTGAATGTACTCCGCCATCTTTGTTTTGGACTTCTGGCTTCTGATTGGTCGACATTGAAGGGCTTTAAATTCGAATTAAAAGTGGCACCTTGCTGTTTCCAAGACAATGAAACACCAAATAAAGTGCTCCAAAGTGGACCTATTGCTCTTTTTTTACACCATTTTTTACAATCCGATGCATTATGGTCTATGAGCGACAGACGCTATGACTACTGTGCAAAAAGATACAAGCTTTGTGTTCTTGATCACACAAGTTTCATACTGTACTAAACTGGCTGATGGTCGATTTTTCACAAGGAAACAATTAGAATTAATTTCTCAATTTCGTTTGAGTGATCGGTTGAATTTAAGCTACAGATATTCGAAATATACGACAAACTCATCATGAATGTTTAATTCTACTTTACGGGTGACAATTCAAATTTCAGTCTTGTTAAACCGGACACTGCAGGCTATAATCTTTTTCAATCATAAATTACGACTCCTAAATACCTTTTTATCACATGCAATATTTGCTTAATAAAAGGATAATGTTGATGTGATCAAATATGCTTGAGTACATGTCACTGAACTAAGAAATGATTAGCCGTATTCAAATTTAGAAAGTAATGAGATTTGAGATTTAAAACACTCTCTGTGTCGCCGGCAAAAAAGCAAACCCTTTCCTTCACAATAAACACACGATAGAAATAAAAAAAAACGAAAAAACAATAATTCGTTTTGTATCTAAAATACAAATTGAACGTTACTGACGGCTTTTGTTAATTCAATATGCATTTTCATATTTACATCTTAAGTGGGAACACAAAGACGTTACTCGTTGTACTAAAAGATCTCAACGCCGCCCGTCCGTTATAACTAATCTCTATACATACAAAGACTTTTGTTTCCCCATTCTATTCAGTTCCGCTTATCGTGGCATGAGCCAGTTTCGACAATGAAACAGTTTCTTTTCATACAAAAGTATATACTTTTACAAAATATCTGTGCGCCATGCATGGATTCCATGGACACACGTTGCTTCTATGATTAAATATATAAAACCTCAGTATAGTTTAGTATTTTGTGAGACTTCACTTTAAACTTTAGTCTGATTATTTTGGCCAATTCACCAATGGCTATCGTACGAATACGAACGTTTTCAAAACAACACGGCCGTTTAGATGCCAGCGAAATGGCGAACCGTTGCGTTTTTCGCGAGTAACCATATAACCTAGTAGGCAAACTGTTCTTCACGTTCTACGATGCCCGTGTTCCCCAACACCCGTCAGGGCAGCAAGAGAGTTTCTGTTGCTATCGATAGAAACTGACGAGTCAGGTCTAGGCAATGAACCAAAATCGACTGGTATGCCATAATCAACGTCTGAAATCCTCGGATCCGCTAGGGCACGATTTGAAAAACCCCCATCACCGTCCCACGAAAGTTCGTTGAAGATGATATCGTGTATTGCAGGCGTTGTTGGTTCATTCGTCTTCGTGGCACTGCGTGTTTTAAAAGGCTTCCTCGCGCCGAGCGCAGACCTTTGCGTTGAAAGACGTGGTGTAGCCTGCCTTGTCGGTTTACGACGACGAGAATAACAAGCGAAACATGCGATGAGAAAAACAACTAGGATCAAACCACAAGCACTTCCGACTATGATATACACGAGCATTACATTTGTAGCGTTTTTTGGTCCTTTATACAAGCAATTGCTGTGAAATTGACGACGTTCGCTTGGCGTTAAGTCGATCTTTTTAACAATTTCACCTCGAGTTTTTATGATTAAACAGCTGCGTGAATAGTGCGGTGACGTCATTCCGCTGCATAATATACGGACTTTGAGGAGAGGGCCAGAAGGAAGCTCGGATAAAATCAATGAGTCTTCTGGGTTCCACGTTAGCCTGGCAGAGCCGTTTACAACCTCAGAAATGTTGAATCCTGAACTATTTCCCGCGAAGTGAATGTCGTTTGTGCCATTGAAATACGAAATCCTCAAAACTTTGCAATACGATTGATTAGGAAACCTCAGTTCCATCTGCGCCTGTCTCGACAGGTAGCACAGCGGTTGTCTAGATCTTGGTATAAACGGTCGACCACAGTTCTCAAAATTTAGGATATCCTCGTCGGAGAAGCACCCTTTCATTTTAAGATGATATGTCTTGTTTTTCACTCCGCATTTGCAACGCACTGCGCACCCTTTCTTCGAGAAAGCGGAAACATTCTCAGCGGACCATCGCTTACAATCCGTGTTGCTTGCATTTACGATAACTCGGGTAAAAATATCTCCGTCATCTCGTCTGGTAATATTTAAGGATGCTTCTGGCTGTCCGAAACAGCTAAGCACATTCTGCAGCAGCCACGTCAAAGCTATGACCTTTACGATCAGACCTTTCGGCAACATTAACGTTAATACACGATCACAAACACTAAAAAATTCCAGCACCTTAAAATATTCGTTCGACTGCTGTCTACATCCCGAGGACGTGTTCACATGAGAAGGAAGAACGCGTTGAGATGATATTTAGACAATTAACCAAATATGCATAAGATAAACACGCTATACACGAACAATCGTACACAAAACTCTTCCAAGTTTAGTTGTTTCATAAGACATTTGTTTAGCTATGCTTGAATGAAGCCATGCACGTTTTACCATTGATTGACACGTCGACGCGTGGCGGGTGAAAACAAACTAACTTTCGCAGAAAATACGATGAGGATTCTACGAAGCTCAACGGATATATATATAAAAACTGAACGGATATGAGGTCAGTTAATCCTGTAAAGATTTGATTGCGTGATTATATGGGCTGCGGGATTTCCAAGCTGGTTCTCGTAGTATCGAAACGCAACGATTTTAAAACCACAAGACATTTTATTAGGTTGCCATGAAGCCAATATACATCCTTTGCTATGTAAATGCTAATGAAGTTTTGACATAGCTTGCTTGAGTTCACGTGAATACGCATATACGGACACCTTTTAACGTGCTTTTCAAGTTTATATGGTCACACAGGTATACTTAAATGTATTTTCGGCGCCCGAAATAGGATTTGGTGTGATTTGGTGTGATAGATTAGTGGTAGTTCGGCACAGAATACGCCGCGTCTTGAGGCGAGAGTCTGGTAACTATATATCGGACGATGGAATGCATCTTACGAGCTTCGTGATATCAGACCTAATTTCATAAGGAATTTTTACCACTCTATGGTGAAGTGTATATTAACGTTTGTATGCAAAAATTGTGTCATCACTGATTCACGAGATAGTCCCTCCAGATATAAGGAAAGATTTATAGCCTCAAGGCCCTTGTTTCACGGTGCAAGTTTTCTTGGATAACTTGCAATGCTATTCTTCTAGTTTGATTGAGATGTAAATTTGGCAACTACCGAACTTTTGTCTTTATTATACACTCCATGGCGTTTCTTAAACTTACATTTTAAAGCCTCTTCACTAATTTATAACTCTCAAAAGTAGAATTGCATTGCAAGTTGCAAGAAAAATTGCACCGTGTAACATGGCCTTTAAAAGATTAAAAATCTGCAAGCTCTTATTCCTGTGAAAATACCGCAAAAGATCGCTGTGAAGTGGATGAGCTTCGTCGTTCTCGGCAGTGAAAGATAATGAATTTGATATTTCGTATCTCTGAGGATGGTTCTGAAACTGAATTTGTAAATAAACTACTCGTAGTGATTTAACGCAAAGCTGTAAGTCCCTCTCATTTCTGTATCTGGTATTCTACAACATATATGCATTCTTCTCTTACGTCTTAAGCCAACTATAAAAATCTCAACCAGTGCACGTGAATGCAACGCACAATCGTAGACGCCAATTCGTCAATTTGAGTGGTGGAGAGAACTTGACATGCAGACAAACCAGAACCATCTATAACCATCCCATATGTAAATATTCAGAGCGCTTTAAGAACAATCCTCTTTCAAACTCAATCTAAACTTCACTCGCATTAATTACAGTATAATAATCATAAGTTAAGCCTACTTTGTATGCTTATTGCTTACATGTATAATACAACTGAAAATCTATTCGGCGTGCTAAATGTTAGTGAAAAGTAATGAGACAATGTTCAACTAGTTCAATGCCATGCATGAAAGTGAACTAAAAGCATATAAATATATCACGTAAAACTGATTATGGTAAACGTTTAAAATCAATATGGACAATAGATGTGAATGGCCAGAGGCCAGTTGTGTAAAACTCTTGAACTACACTCTGCATAGTTAAATCCTAGTCAAACTCAGAAATGCCAACTCTGATTGACCAATTCTGTCCTTAAATACAGTTAAAAGTTAACTAGTCTTTTATACAACTGGCGGCTATATATAACTTTTTTTTCCGAGATGAAATAAGTGCAGGAACATGAACGCTTTTAACAGCAGGGGGGGCGGTTGGCTTTAAAATACGTTGACGTGGTACAAACAGAGCAATAAATTAACATAGAAACAAGAAAACCTTATAATACTTTCACATAACATGGATCCAGCTGTTCCTCCCGTTTTGGGGGTTTGCCAGGTTTTGGTGCAATTTTAGGGCGTACTGGAGTCTTCTTTCGTACCAACCCTTGATACATGTCATTATCATTGACCATGCTGAGTAAATTCAATGATGTATATGAAATATTATGCAAGTTGTACGAATCATTGTTCGTCGTGTTTACATAATCGTCTTCATCATCCCTGTTTTGACATGACAGGTCCGGTGTGGAGCATCCGCTCATCTCCGTGTTCAACGTTTCAGCGTGGCGCCCAGGAACGCTCTCGGAAACTCCCTTTGTGTTGATGTAACTGTGATTTTCCTCTTGTTCACCGCTCACTCGTTCTCTGTTTGCTCCGGGGAGATGACCATACGGATGTTCGTAATAAATAGAACTAGTTTCCACGCTGTCATCGTTCTCTTGAGTCTGGATATTTGGCTCGTGGTAAACACCAATATTACCACATCCTTCGTTGGAGTTGGGCGGTGGGGATATTTCAATGTTTGATTCAAAATCACTAGGTCCAGATCTGTCACTTTTGCAATGATTATAACATTGTTTAGCCAAAATAACCATAACAATCAAAAGCAGCCCTCCTAAACCAGCTATAATTGGTATCACGTGTTTCTTCAACTGGTCCAATATGGAACTCTCTGG